GGGCCAAGTCATATGCAAACGCCGTCAAAGACAGCCCCGAAGGCTCGTCACTCGAACAGACTATGGGCGAAATGCGACGCTTGCGATCCATACGAAACGAGCGCACCCTTTCCACAACCTACAGAAAAGCTCGAGCATCTCGAATAATCGATGGGCCAGAGGGTCGTAGTGTGCGGCCGGGATCATCAGGAGGCGAAGCCTCGGATCCACGGGGTCATGGATTTCAGATTGTAGAGGAGAAGGATGCCAACGGAGAAACGGTCACTGAGCTGACGTTTGGCAATCAGGACGCATTGACTTTGGATGATATTCCCAGAATCGTTGCGGCCGAACAAGCCAAGGAACAACGGCCCAATGCTTATAAGCATGCCGGCACCAAGCTTGTTGGCACCACCGAGCCTCTCCCAAAGTACAACTACGGTCATCAGCGTGGCGTTTCGGGTGCAGGTCTAGAGCAGCATCTGATTGAGCAGTCAGGGCGGACTAAGAAGTACTTTTCGGAACTCTCTGCTCTGGAGTACTTCATTGTCCGACACGTTGCGGTCTTGTCCATGGAGCCGTTGTTGGATGGAAATTTTACTCTGGAAGAGCTTCTCTCGTTGATTGAGTCGCGCAAACCCACGATCTGGAATATCTTTGGTCGAGCTTTCAACAAGGAAGCGAAGAAAGGTGGGAAGAAGAAGGGTGTCTTCGGCGTTAGCCTTGACTTCCTTGTTGAGAAAGAAGGTACAGAGTCCAGTCACGGTGTTGGCCCTGGGGCGCTTCGCATTCCCGCCCTCGTTGATGATGCTGTCTCCGCGATGCGTCAAATGGACATGTCTGTTGAGGGTGTTTTCCGAAAGAATGGCAACATTAGACGCCTGAAGGAACTCACCGAGATGATCGATAACAGGTATGAACAGGTAGATCTCACAAAGGAGAACCCTGTCCAGATTGCGGCTCTCCTCAAGAAGTTCCTTCGTGAGATGCCAGATCCACTCATGACATTCAAGCTGCACCGCTTATTTGTGGTATCTCAAAGTAAGTTTGATGGCCCTGAGCAGCAATGTCCGGCTTGTTAACGTCGCCACAGAGATCTCTGATCCGGAGAAACAAAAGCGCCTCTTGCATCTCACCTGCTGCTTGCTCCCCAAAGCTCACCGTGATACTATGGAAGTTTTGTTCGCCTTCCTGAACTGGACTTCGTCCTTCTCACATGTCGATGAGGAGTCCGGTAGCAAGATGGACATTCATAACTTGGCAACTGTGATAACACCGAATATACTTTATCCCAACACTAAGGCCAGTACCGTGGACGAGAGCTTTCTGGCAATTGAGGCCGTCAACTCTCTGATCACATACAATGATACCATGTGCGAGGTATATTCTCCAGATTTCCTTTCGTTGTACTGTTGCCTTCTAACAATGTTCCAGATTCCCGAAGACTTGCAATCAGTCCTGAATGACCCTACCTTCTTCAAAGAGAATAGCGAGGTGACTACCAAAGATATCCTCAAGCGATATGGGGATATTGCACGAGGCAGCATGTCTCAAAAGCCCAGCAATGGTGGCGAGACTGTTACAATTACGAACTCTACTCGCGGAGCGAACATTCCTACTTCTGCACGCATTGAAACGGACGCCTCTCAAGATGCGGCTTGGCAGGCACAGAGCTCAGTTCGCCACGTCCAAAGCCCTGGGGGACTTGGCCAGTCTACAAGCACCGCTCAGTCTGGTATGGACCTTGGTCCTGCATCGGCTAAAGATTACCGTGAGCGAAGCACGAGTAACAGCAGCCAGCAAAACACTGTCCAACCTGATGGACAAGGCCAGCCGATGCCTTACCGACCTCGTCCAGGCGCTGGACCTATGGGCGTTGCGGGCTAAATTAGCAGCTAGCCTTTGTCTTCGGCGATGGCACTACATCGTCGCTTTTCTGCATAGTCTCGAAGATATTTTCCTGATACAATAATCGCCAATATCTCGTTTGAGCTCCAAAGAATGCTCTTGGCGTATGACTGGGCCGTTCAGCGTTTATTCGATATAACATGGTTGGATGGAGTTTCTTTCACCTTTTGAATTGAGATGATTATCGATTTTTGCCAAAACAGTCGGCTCGAAGATTCTCTTGGCGGATGGTTGTTCTTTTCTTCTTACCTTGTCTTTTGTGCTCTGGCAACTTGAAGCGCATTTGCATTGGCCGTGGGTCCCAGTACGACTCACCGCACCCTTAATTTGCTTTCTACCTCGATGGGCTAGTTACGGAGGTCCGTCTGTCCGTCGTGACCTTGTTAGGTTCATATTCTGGGGGACTGGGGGTGTCACCCTTGTCCCAAGTTTCCATCTTACCCATCTTTTTCTTTTCTCGCCCGTTGTTATCTCAAAGCCTTGCCTTGCAGCCCTTTGCGTTTTCACAGCCCGAGACCCAAAGCGAACAATGCCAGGGGCATTTCCTTTCTTTCCATTCCCTCGATTTCATTTTCATTTTCTTCTGACTTCTTGAACACCATGGTGTTTCGCAATCTTGTGCCTTACTAACTTCCATTCCACTGTTGTGTGAGATTATTCTGAGTGGGACGCACTAGCGAAGAGAGGGCAGCTTTCTTCTTTACTTTACTTCATTTTCTCAGGCAGTTCCAGATTAACTGCGAAGATACCTGTGCCGAGTCATACGATATTTTCTTTTCTCCTTTTTTCTTCTACCTTTTCTACTTTCTCCATCCCTTCTCTTCTAACTCCATTCTATTCCACTTTCTCCCATTCCAAAACCATACGACCTAACCCCAGCTGATATCCCGACTTGTTTGTGTCTCTTTTCTTTTTCTTCTTCTCTTCAGCATCCTTGTGATGTCTTTATATTCTCCTTTCCCCTCTTATTTCCCCTTTTTTTCTCATTCAGCCCCCGCCTGCCCTCATATAAAAAAGAGGTGTAATTTACTAGCGACTATGAATGAAAGACAGTATCATAGTACCTGGCACTTTTATAGGCTTGACATTGTGAAAGTATGCTACTTTGTGGCCCATGCTGGAAGTGGTTTTAATGCTCCCATAAGAGAGACATTCAACAGGAAATACATGCTAAATTCAAGTAAACACATTCGTAACACCACAAGGAGAAATATGACACCTGGCAATGTCTCTCGATGATGGATTTGATGCCTTGCGCAAAAAGAACAACGAAAAAGCTAGTCGATATAAGAACTCCGAATAATTCACTCCAAGCCCCTAATACTCCTTCGATACCTAAATTAACTCCCAAATCGCACACCCCCGGTATCAAGCAGAACACCACGTGGAACTCCAATCATACACAAAGCAACCATAAAAGGTATCAAAATGACTAAAGTCGTAAGAACGAAGGCAGGATGTTAGATCCATATCAGGCCCGCTTGCGCAGAACCCTGCGGCCGGCTGCGGGGGCAGCTTCACCGCCGGCCGGGGTGGTGGCTCGCTTGGTTGTGGTTCCTGATGCGGCGTTGCGTTTGGCAGCGACGGCCGCGGCGCTTTGGGTGCGGCCGCCCGCGTTCTTCCTGGCAGCAGATGAGGCAGGCCCGGACGCAGTGGCACTGCCGGTGGTCTTCTTACTGCCAGTGAGGGTCCGGGTTGGCTTGACCGCCACGGTGGTACCGGAGGAGGCGGACGAGGAGACACTGTCCCGGCGGTCGACTACCTGGCGCGTCGCGGGCCGCGGTAAGGGCGAGCGCAGGGTATTGCTGGTCGTGATTGCGGCGCGGCTTGCCGGGCGTCTGGTAGCTGCTTGGGACGAGGGCCTGACGACGGATGTCGAAGGCGCGTTGGTGCCGCGAACGGACCGCAGGCCCGGCATGCTGGCGGAGGTGCCCTTGAGCGGGCTGGAGGGCTTGAGCGGGGACATGGGCCGGGAGAGATAGGACGATGTGTGGTGGGGGTGGTGGGTGGATTTCTCGGGCGAGGCGACGCGAAGAGGGGACTGGGGGTACGTCCGGGAGTTCGAGGTCTTGGGCGACAGGATTCGGTAGTCGTTGGCGCCTCTCATCTCCTGGGACACCACCCGCGAGGTTCCCGCTGCTGCACCGGGCTTGGCCCGGCGTTTTGGGTTCTTGAGCACGTCGAGCGACTCCCCGCCGGGGGCGGGCGCGTTTTCTTTATCGGAATAGATACCTTCGTGGCTGATTTGGGGGGAAGCAGGGTCAGTGAATTGAACGACCACGATGTCAAGTAACCCCTCCCCCGTGGGGACGACTAAGAGAGGATATATATTCTTACGCCGTACCTTTGTTTGCGTACCCTGCGGGAGCTGGGACTTGCAGTCGTCGCTTTGCGCAACTTGGGGCTAGCGGAGATGGCTGCGAAATTCCGGGATGCTTTGGCTGGGCTGAGCAGCTTGCGGGGGAATGTGTTCTCTTGCTGTGCTCTCATGTGTTTCTCAAGTAGTTCGCCCATGTTGGCTCTGCGGAGTGCGATGGGGATTCGGTTGATGCGTCGCTCGATCCGGGCGCGTAGGTCGCTCGCTTGGAGAGCATACTGGGCACGGAGTTTGCGGGCGCGTTCGGTGACTGGGACGGCGGTTAGTACCAGAATTGCGGGATGAAGATTGCGCTGTCTTCGGGAGCGTACTTTCGAGCTGGAGGTTGTCAATAAGGGCCTGTTTCTGGTTGCGTGTGATCCGAAGCTTCTTCTTAGGCGGGCTGTTGGTGGGTGTGAAGGCTTCCTCGTTGTGGGACGCGTCCTCGGGGGACTTGCGTTTGGAGGCAAGGGACGCCATTGGGCTTGAAATAGGTCGCTAGCGATCGCTGGTCTGTAGACGTGCAGGATATTCGATGCAGATTTTAAAAGGCTGGAACGAAGCCAGAAGAATGATTGAGTCGAGAACTGCGTCTGGATTGAAGGGAGGGGAGGGGGGAGCGGAAGAGTTGGCGGGCGGGAGAGTGTGTGAGAGGAGAGGAGAGAGGCTGGCGAGGATAAACAACCTTGATTGAAGTGCTGACTTAATTCGTGGTTAGCTCTGATCGGGAGAGGGTGTGACATCTTGCAGTCCCCGTCCCGTACCTCATCCATCACCGAAGCTCTCACTCTCCTCCATCATCGACATCTTCATCCACCTTCTCCAATCACTTCCTCCCCATCTACTCAGAAATATTTCTATTTCCGGCATTTACAGCGCCTGAACACTTCACCTACTGACACATATACCGATCATTTCCGTCGTTCCTAGCAACGCCTAACCTTCGCCAAGATGGAAGCCACCATGATCATGTCCGTTCCTCTGCTCCCCCCTCCCCCCCTCTCCCTCATCTCAAGCTTCGTGCACCCTGGCTAACAACCCATGCAGTGTGGACAACAGCGAAAGCAGCCGTAACGGGGATTATACGTAAGTACAGCGAAGTCTCACCAAGAGCCATCGAACCTTCTCTCGTTCCGACCGCTGACAGCTGAGCTGCCAGTTCGACCCGATGGCAAGCACAGATCGACGCTGTCAGCGTCATTCACACGACCAAAATGCGCGTACACCCCCAATCCGCCGTCGGTCTTATGAGCATGGGAGGAAAGGGCCCCGAAGTCCTGTCGACATTCACCACCGACTTCGGTGGTATCCTGGCTGGTCTACACCGCACGAAGATCGGTGGCATTGCCCACCTAAGCTCCAGCATACAAGTGGCCGGTGTATGTTTGCCTACAACCTCCCACACCTAAGATGAGTTTCCAAACCAGCTAACCGTACGGCCAAACTATAGCTCGCCCTCAAGCACCGCTCCGAGAAGTCCCAGAGACAGCGCATTATCGTATTCTCCTGCTCGCCCATTGAAGAAGACGAGAAGACGCTCGTGAAGCTCGCCAAGAAGATGAAGAAGAATAACGTGTCCATTGACGTGATCGCCTTCGGAGACCTCGAATCCGACCAGACCAAGAAGCTCGAGGCGTTCGTCGAGAATGTCAAGGGTGGCGACGGCTCCCACCTGGCCATCATCCCGCCCGGCGACAACCTGCTGAGCGAAGAGCTCCAGGCCACGCCGATCTTGGGCGGTGACGGCAGCGGCGTCGGTGGCGCCGGTCCGGACGGCGGCGACGGCGGCTTCAACTTCGAAGATGCGGCGGAGAACGACCCCGAGCTGGCTTTTGCCCTACGTCTGTCGCTCGAGGAGGAGAAGAACCGACAAGAGAAGGAGAAGCGGGATCGAGAGGAACAAGAGCGCAAAGCCAACTTGGAGGGCATTCCCGAGGAGGGTGGTGAGGGTAGCGGAAGCAAAGACAAGAAGGATGACGGTGACAAGATGGACACCGCTTAATGTGCGAGGAAATTTGAAATGATTCCTCGTGGATGACCTCCTTTTTTCTTCTTCAATTTCCGATGCATACCCGGCGTTCCTTCTGATATGTACTTGCGTTAAAGTTTTCTCTGGTTTTTCTGTTTGGTTGTAATTGTAGAACGTGGGTTCTAGATTCGGCCCCCTCCCACACGACAACGCTTTTGAGAAAGGCTTGCGGTATCTCCATGGGAATTCTATATCATCATGATCGTAGTTCTATGCCGGAGAGAACCGCGACGCATATATGAAAGAAAACAAAAGAATTGATGGACGAACGCCTCCCGCGAAAGAAGAAGAGTAAAAGGAACAGGATACACCAGTACAATCATTAAGAGTGCCCGTCGCCCAAAATTCGACATTGAATCACGCCAACAACAGGGAATCATTTTTCCTCTTCCCCATGTCACAACAACAAAAGGCGAAAGGGTAGAAAAAGAGAATCCTCACGTCCGCCCACGCAACCACCCGTTCAAATTCCGATCAAACGCTTCGCACCGCACCGGCATCTCCAACTGATAGAAGGGATTCTTCATGACGAAGTCGGCGTAGAAGTCGTAGATCTTCTTCATCACCACCTCGATGTTGGCCATGTGCGGGTCCGTGAAGAGGAGGAACTTGGTGCCCGTCAGCGTCTGGAAGCACGTCAGCCGGAACTTGTCCGTCTCGAGGGACTCCAGCCCCGTCGCGGGGACGCCGGGGATCGGGTATGTGTATGTGGTCGCGGCGACGGATGTCGTCGTTGTTGTTGTCATCGTCGTCGTCGTGGGCGGGATCGGGGTGGAGGTGCCCGAGGGGGAGGCGAGGTTGGAGGAGGCGCTGGTCGGGGTGGAGGCTGTTGCGGTTGGGGTGAGGAGGGGGAGTTTGGGGGTGATAGTGCGGGTGATGGCGTGGACGCTGTTGTTGATGAGTGGTGCATAATTAGTATATTATTGTCCTAGTGTACGATGCATTCGTCTCTCTCTGGAGCAGAGGCGTTCGCACCAAGGTCCACATACCCGTGAAAGGTTCCGGCGAGAACGAGGTAGTCGTTTGTCGAGAGCTTGCGGAGGCCCGGTTGGAATTCGCGCTGGTAGATTAGACCTCCGGCTTTGTTGATGATGATTAGGGAGAAAACCGTCCTGTTTGCTTTTGGTTAGATGTTTTCTTTTTGTTTCTTTGGGTGGGGAAGGAGAAAAGGAAATTGGGAGTTTGGGGTTTTGGTTGCGACGTACATGGTGATGAGAGGGGAAGAAGCTATGTCAGTCGTGGGAGTAGTATCGGACGATCTTGTCCTTTGAAGTGGTTTCAGGGTCTGTGGTCATACGACATCACAGACGCTTTCTCATCAATTATTGGCAGTTGAGGTGTAGAGGACGTGAGATCTTATTTTGCCGTGTTGTCATATCAAATCGTTTGTTGTTCTGATCATTATACCCGGGGATTATTGCGGAGGTGTTGTTGGCCGCGGTGTCTTACACTGCGTCGGTCTCCCTCACCGCTTTCGATGGGATGGTCCTTTAGGTGGACCTTTAAATAGCCCGCTGTTTTCTCCGCACTTGCCCCCATCTCATGCATGTCCTGGGACTTATCTAGGCCCTGCATCGAGTCTACAAGTCTACAAACCTACATGGCGCACATAGCCGGTCTTCTGGGAAGTTACAATGGTCAAGGATATGGCTCATTGAATAAAAAGCTGAATTGCCATACACGTCAACGTGATGTACTGCGTCTAATCATAAAGAACTCCCAAAGGAGAATTGAATCACATGCGGCATCATGACCGGACAGCCACGACGTCTGTCACTTCCACAATATTCTACATTGAGCAAGAAGTCAGCAAAGACAGAATCCCCACACTATACCCCGATATCATCAACATCGGAGCAAGAGAGAAAGAACTTACCGGCCGTCCTTGCACCACATGCTCCGTCTCAAACGACCGAGTCGTATACCTCACCTCCCCCTCCCCTCCCTTGCCCCCCGCCCTCACATACTCCAGATAATCCGGCGCGCCGGGAATATCCGTATTGTCAGCAATGACCTTCGACCCGACATGGAACAGCGCCAGCTCCTCACACAGCTGCAGGTCCGAGAGATAGAACTTCTCCCAGTGATCGAAGAACGCCATGTCGACGCCGCCGGGGGTGATCTTGCCTTGCTCGACCAACCCGCGCAGGGACTCCGACGCCGGTCCCACCAGGACGTGCACGACCTCCTGCAGACCCGCGAGCTCGATGAAGTCCCGCGCCACCTGGGCGATGGACTCGCTCACCTCGAAGGTGTAGATGTGGATGTCGTTGTCCGCGGACGGCCCGTGCAGATCGCGCAGGATGGCCGCCCACGCGATGGCGGAGCAGCCGACGTAGGTCCCGAACTCGACGACGGTCTTGGGTTTGGGCTGCATGCACGCGAGGTGCTGCTGCGCGACGCGGAGCTTGGTTTCCTTGAAGTTCATCAGGTGCCGCGTCTGGCTGTATTCGTCGAGGGCACGGTACAGTGCCCATGGGTTGTTGCGGTAGGGCTCGGTACTGGGCTGGCTGAAGATGTGGGCGTGCGCGGCTTGAGCGGCAGCTTCGGGGTTCTATTATTGGGGAGAGGTTAGATTTTTCTGGGGAGGTTCTGTAGGTTCCACGTGGACGGGTGGGTTGAGGACTTACGTGCGGAGGCATGCTGGTGGGTTTGATGTGTATGGATTGGTTCTGAATAGGTGCTTGGAGTATAAGTGGCTGGTGTTGAGTCACAAATAGATAGCTTGGGTTTTTATCGTAGAGGCAGTATCTTGTAGGCTGGAGATGGCCGTGTCTATTGTGGGCATGAAGCTTTTATATCACGGCTGCTGAACGATCTTCAAATGCAGGCGGCTGTGACTTTCACCTGCGGTAAGTGGTCCACCTTATGATGAACGTCTTTCTATCTCCGAGAGACATCTTCCTTGGCGCTTTTGAATGGCTATAGACACAGTCCGTATGGAGAACACTGGATCATTCGTCACGCTCATGCTGGAAGCCTTTGTGGTGGATATCAATTGCATGGAGTCTAGTACTAAAATGAAATCTTCGTCCGAGAGTGTCGGAGCTCGGTACTATCTAAGGTAAGCGAAACCGAGATCTTATCGCCGAGGTATCCCACCGCTGCATACAGATCCACTTTCGGCTCGAGGATGAGATGATCGCCTTACGTCGGAAACTCACACGTTGTGGCAGTGCAAAGTGAAGGCAAGTTGCCGAACGGCTGTGCGGCCTGCAGAGAATCTATAGCTTGACTCTGCATTTTCGATTCACATCGCAGCGACAGTTCGCAGTACTGTACACATTACTCCTCTCCTTGAGGATGAACCAGCCCCTCATTATTGAACTCATACCGCGTCTCCGCATCCTAAGCCGATAAAAGCGTCAGTCTACCACCAAGCAACAACTTTCTGCCAAAATCTCTCTGAAGAAAGATAAAAAAAAAGGACCACTCACCCAATATTCCTCAAACCCGACGCCCGCACAAACCTCCTCATACCGCAGAATCTGCGGCGGCGCGCCGACCGTAAAACTCCGCTTCAGGCCCTCTAGCGCCTCGCGCATACTCTTCAGCCGGGCTGCCACCAATGTCCAGGGGTACGCGACGGCCGCGAACCCCAGGCCCGCCAGCTCCGCGGCCGAAAGGTTCTCCGTCTTGCCGCCCTCGATGATGTTCGCCAGCAGGGGCACGTCCAGCTCCGCCACGCAGCGGCGCATGGCCTCGCGGTCGGGCAGCGCCTCGACGAAGATGGCGTCCGCGCCGATCGCGATGAACTTCCGCGCTCGGGTCATCGCTTCGTCCCACCCGTGGATCAGGGCGTCGGTCCGCGCCAGGATGAAGATGTCGCGGCCCTGGTTGCGCGCGTCGACGGCGGCTTGGATGCGCGCGTCGGCTTCGCCCCGTGGGACCACGGATTTGCCTTTGGTGTGGCCGCAGCCTTTTTGATATCGCAGGGTCGTTAGTTGGTGGTTTAGAGAGGGTTTGTTAGGGAGAGCCGGGGGGGCTAGGGAAATGGGCAGGGGACGCACGTTTCGGCCATGTCTGATCCTCGATCATGACGCCTGCAGCTCCGGCGGCGGCGAAGCACTCGACCGTTCGTTTGACGTTCATGGGACTGCCGTAGCCCGTGTCCCCGTCGACCATGATGGGTAGGTCGGTGATGATGCGGGCGGTTTCTTGGATCTTGTGGCACATGTCTTCCATGGCGATGTAGCCGGTGTCCGGCAGGCCGTGGGCGCTGGAAACGGCAAAGCCGGAGAGGAAGATGAGTGGGAAGCCGGACTCGGCGACGAGGCGCGAGGAGAGCCCGTCGTAGGTTCAGGGAAATGCGAGGATGGTATTTGGGTCGCGGTGGGAGGTTTGGAAGAGGGTGCGGAGGTGCGAGGCCTGCGGGCTGGGCAGGCGGCCGCGGACATTCTGAAGGGCGTAGGTGAGGGTTTGAGGTTTGGCTTGGGGGTCTGGTGGTGATCCTGAGGCAGTTGCTGTTGTGCTGTGCTTGCTAGGTGAGGGGTGAGTTGGTAGAGTGTGGTTGAAGGGGTATGGGGTCATTTTGGGCCGGTGTTATCTGGTTATATAGGGTCGAGAGAGAGAGGATGTGTTGAAATGGCCGAAGATACAGGCGATGGTTTGTGGTAAGGATATCTGTTCGGTGTTGGTTTTGTTGTTCAACCTGTTAATGTCACGGCGGGGGATACTGAACACATGACTGCCGATCCATCTATAGCGGGGATCATCCACTTCGGAGTATCAATGCTGCTGTGTAAAAGCTCCACAGTCTTTGACCTTGGGTTGAGAGCTGCACAGCTGGCTGGGGGAGAGACTTTCTCTAACGAAGGTTAGTGCTCTAATGTGAGGTTGACGAATTCCTTTTTGTCGCGTTGGGATAAGGTTAGACAGTGGACTGGCTGACGTGGGATCGCATAGTCTCGAGACGAAACCATGAATACCATCATGCCTATTCTGTACCATGAATAAAATGTCTGGCCATTTTAAGGTCAATTTGCCGTACCACTGCAATCACATTTGGCACATTGTTATTCTCCTTTCAGGCGAAAGCCACCAGAAACAATCGGAACGCTCCTTGGCAGCATGACGAACATTCATCCACTCAAGGTACCAGGTTCCAATCTCATAGCATCCAGACGACGACTGAGTGCAACGTTCCTCTATGCCGAGGCCGCTAATGTACGGGGAAATACCAGGACCCGCTGGGAACCCATATTCTAAAAGACCTGGAATTCAAACCAACGATCAGAATAACGGCCACCAACACGTGGGCACGTTCCGTAGACCCGGCAATAAGCCAACCCGCGTTCTTCGCCCTGTCAGCCGCACGGACAGTCTGCGTTTCATAGAGAGAGTCCAAGGGGATGGAATCAATTCGGGGGCCAAACTCAGGGACCCGCCGCGGGAAGTCTTGCTCTAGAAACCGGTCGCCACGTGGAAACCGGTGTCGTTTGGGCGCCTGGACGATCAGACCATGCTGGGTTTAGTCTGGGGCTGAACTGGACTGGTTGAACAGATTGTGCTAGGTTAGTTGGTGGTGGGTCGAGTCTACTCTATTGGCAAATACCTATGATAGGTCTGGATGACTTACGGGAAATGAAGTTTAATGTGTATGATGTTTCAATTGATATGTGAATATATCTCTTTCCTTCTCGCTCCAAGAGTGGGTATTGGGTATTGGTAGACAGCGTGAGAGCACAGACAGACAGTAAAGAAAACACCATATACTCCTCTAAACCAAAGATGTGAAATACAGGATATCAGGTCATCAAATGTCGTCATCAAGAAAAGGGGAAATGGCCATAGATTAAACAGATAAAAGTGCAACAGCCTGAGGCATCGGAGAAGTGGAGGGAAGAGTTGGAATGGCAGGAGAGTTCATCTCCAAGGGGAAGGAGCAGTTACTTGTCACAGAAGACAGCCAACTTCAACTCTCCGTCCATTTCCCGGATGATTCCCTCCTCCATAGCCCACTGCCGCACCAACAAGTCCTCGCTTTCCTGCTCGAGGTTTTCCTTTTCATAGTGGCGACCAACATGCTCCATTCGGTCATTCCAACTGTGTGCACCAACGAATTCCTGTCCACAGAAGCCGCACTGGCTGTGAAGTGGGGGCTTGCGTTGTTCGTGCCAACATCGTGCCCGCACAGCCTCCAGGCTCTGTTCAAACGCCTCCCGCTCTTCTTCGGTCTCGGGCGACTTCCGGTTCCGGCACACCCAGGGGGCATGCATGCGACGCTGGTGCTGAGTGAAGAGGTCTTTGCGATTGAAGTCATTGACCAGGTGAGATTCGTTGTAGGCGAGGGGCTCGTGCGGTGAGCCGAGGTTTCTCTCTTTGCTCAGGTTGTCCAAGCTACAACGTCCCACATCGCATCGGAAAAATCCCAGTTGAATGTGCTGAGAGATCACATGTCGCTTCCACTCGTTCTTCGACACGAATGTGCTGGGGCAGCCATAGTGTGAGAAGCTGCAGGTGTATACTCGACTGGGTGGTGGGGTATTCTTCTTCGCCGTTACCCGTGCGCCAGCACGGGCGCTCGCAGTGGTGCTTGTCTTGCTGGATGGCTTCCGCGTCTGTTTAGTGATGCGACTTTTGCTGGCTTTCGATGTTTTTCGTGACTTGGCTTGAAACTTTGGCGAGTCAGAAGCGGCGCGCTCCTCCTTGACCGGCTGAGCGCAGATCGACATCCCGGTCATAAAATTGGTCTCACAGTTCGAGAAAACTCCTTGATACGGAAAGGTGGCATGCGTGCTTGTAATGGGTAATTCGGGCTCAATCTTCACCATGGACTCTGGTTCTGGGTAGATTTGAGAAGGCGCCACCAGGTAATCGACAACAGCGGGCGAAGCGCACGGCTCATATGTAGATGGTGGTATCATGACATCGTCACAGGTATAAGGGGGAGACATATAACACCCCATATTCATCCAGTTCGAGTCGTTACACTTGGGACTTCCCAGCGCCGGCGAAGAGGTGGGCTCGCTGCTCCAAGGGGACGAGAAGCCTGTTGTGAGAGTGTCGATATCATCTCCTATGCTCGTCCAGGACATGTTGGATGTGGGATAGAGGCCTTTCATAGGGATAGCTTCCGGAGTGAGATGGGGTTGAAGGCCTGAAGGAGGTTGACTCATCGTGGGGTTTGTATACGACGACTCATACTTGCAAGGGTACAGTTCATAATCCTGGGGAACACTAACCCCGGATGCTAGTTGGGGAACATCGGAGAAGGCTGAGAAACGGTCCATGATATGGAAATGAAGAAGCAAGCAAGAACTCGCTTCGAACTATGGCTTTGTCTGTACACAGAACCACAACACGGTCGGAAAGAAAATGTTTGGCTCCATGTGTCGCGGCAGCCAGGGGCATTTATCTTCAGCTGGACGACCACATGGCTATGAACTCACTTGGAACGGGCGTTACGGGAAATGGGGCACTGTAGCCCGAAAAGAGCCCAGAGTCAAGGCCATGTTGAGCCGCATAGGCTCAATGGGCTGAGCGATTATTCGTCGAAATTGCTTGCGGGATTGCATCTTGAGAGACCCAAAGCAGGAAACCCCTGCAGCGGCATCTAGCCCGGGCTTCTGGACATCTGGACGATCCATTTTCATTTCCTCCACACCCCCCTTTCCTCTGGCGGTCTGGTGGATTTTCGTGTTTTCATTTCCCAATATGCTTTTCTCGACACTAACGCTCCGTTCAGTCACGCTATGAAGGGTACCCCCTGTCAGACGGCGGCTGGATCGCTGGCTCTCGTGGTGAACGAACCCCCGGATGGGCTAAACTACCCTCAGTTTCGGAAAGGGTTGTTGGGATTATCGCGCGCACCTTTTCCTGAGAAGTCTCTGGAACAGAGCAAGCAGGTGCTATCATCTAAATTTACTGCTCAGAAGGAAGCATTCCAATCCCTCGTGGCTCGCACAGCCCAGGTTTCATGCGTGCACATTCCAAAGTTCCACTGATTGATTGGATCTGGGGGGTTGCTCCTTCTGTGCCCGACGAGTCTCCCCCAGAGTGCCTGCCATTCAGCCTCAATTAATTGATAGGCAGTGTTGTTGCGCTAATCCTGCATTAGCTGGCCAAACCCATACCAACCGGGTTTGACTTGACTTGTCGGGGGCCAAACCTACCGTACGGAGCCACCCTGGGTCCATCTGCCAGCGTTGACTTATCGCCTCCGCACCAACCACAACCCTCAATAACGAGTCATTGAACAAGTCGGTCTCCACCAGCTATCATTTGGTATCGCTCATGCAGGGGGTCTCGAACAGGTAAAAACCCACAGCGATCATTACTTCGTTCAGCGGGGTGACTATGACTGGTTGCCTTTTTGCACACCTGTTGGCTTTTCCCCGGGCGCGATTTGACCCTGTCGGCGAGGCACGCACCGCATCAACCCGCGCCACGCTGTCTTTTGATACGCTTTTGGCATGCATGTCCCACCTGGAAATAATGACGCTCCGACCTCATTCTCCAGGCGTACCGTTACCCGCTAAACGTCTGACAGGCTCACGGATCGTGTGTCTTCCGTTAGCACCTTGGTCATCCTCTTGAGATGTACGGAGTAATTATTATCGTTATTATCGCAACTCGCCAAGGATTCCTGATATCATCCCTTTGGCATGGCAAAGGGTCCACATTTCTTTCCCCCTTTTACCAGTGTAGTTGAACAGTCGCCATGCTTGAAGCAGCGGTTGCTCTCCACTTCGTCCTATTTTCTTTTTGGGGGCCAAATTTGTTCCGATGGACCACGCGACAACACCCGCGCTATGCAGCGATTCGTTAGATCGGTATCTCTGTTATGAAACCAACTAACGGGGTGTTGAGGATCGACCTGAGCTCGACTATTCACACCAGAAAGGGAAAGGTTAGATTGATGGCTATCAGAAGTCGAAGGTTCGCGACCGATGGCTGAATGTTCATCATCGTACGTTTTCATTTCGAGATACCGGTCGCTGCCCTGAGGCGTTCATCGGTGGCTGAGACGTTGGCTGTGCTGCGTATGCGTCCGACTGCTTGTGTGAGTACACACAGGGATCTGGCAAGGCGCTTTTCTGTCGCGGTACGACATCGCCCACCGCTTCTTCATCTTGTCACTGCAATACGTAGCCCGTAGGGCTCAAGGAAGTTTCGGAAGAAATCCGGCTTTCTTCCCTGTTCACGGCGGTAAGATGTGGTTCGGAAAGTGGAAAAGAAGCGGTGCAGCCCCAGTGACTCCACCAATGCAGCTAAACTGACTCACACTTCCTGCCTGTCAGTTGCCGCAGCTCAGCTACTCCATCGATACTCATACCTAGTCTCATGTGAAAAGGTTTCTTATTCCCATCGGAGGCATTTTGCTTTCCGTGGCTCGCATCGCATTGGTTTGTTCGTGTAATTACATCATTCCCTCCCCCCTCCCGTTAACTCCGTACCTTATCGTGACTATCTATCATCATTATCGTTGATCCCCAGCTGGACGTTCCGGGCGAGACAGTTTCCGAAGGGGACGCCCGCGACAACCGCGCGTCTCATGCGAATCATGCCTGGGGGAAGGATGCAGGATCTCAAGCAGCCCTCTTATTTTCCTTGCCTCTTTGAATTGACATCATTATCTGTGTCACTAAGTGACTGCTGACCATTGCTTGCTTGCTTGCTTGCCTGCTTGCTGTGATACGACGCCCGTTCTAGGATCCTGTGTTGGGACAATCAATAGAACTAATTCTCCGTCGTTCTGTGCCCACGGACCTGAACTTGCTGGTAGGCACTACGCTCTAATATAGATATGTATGTACGATGTATGTCACCGACCTCAACGGGGAACCACTGCCTGCATTCAAACCCAGCCCAGATAAGATACAGTTCCAGTTCCGAGGGACTGGCCCCACTGCTACCGCTCTCCCGTCCGTGGAAGAGACAGGTCACAGTTGGAAGGTCCACACCACAACTTTGAACGCACTGACTGAGACTGCCATTTACATACACGGACACTTATACTTCCGGGAAAAAAAAAAGAGACGAGTTGTTTCTATTTCCTAAGAGCGAAAACGTAGCAAGACTCTAGCTAACGCACGCACACCAAAATAGAGCATACAGTACAGCTACGAACCACAGCCCATCCTCACCAGAACCGATGCCAAACCATGACCAAAACACACCCATCTCTCAGCAACAAGCAACAAGATGATTCACTCCTGCTTGACCTTCTTGCCCCACCGCTTTGGCACCCGCACCAGCCAGTACAGAAACACCGCGGCAGCCGCATTGAACACCACGTACACGAACAGCAACCCGATGTTGCGCCAGCGGTCGGCGAACGACATGCTCAGCGTGGCGAGGAACTGGTCGGTCGTTGAGTAGGCGCAGATCCGGCAGGTAGTCGTGTCGGATGGGTTGAGGAGGCGGGCCTGGGCGGCCCTGACCCAGGGCGAGAGGTAGTCGGCGCAGGTCTGGTTGGCGGGCGGCGGGATGTGGAGAAGCTCAATCTCGGAGCAGTTGACCTCGGCGCCGGCGAGGCCGACGCTCAGAATCGCGGAGACAAGGTAGGTGAAGGGGGAGACGCGGTACATGAAGATCCAGAAGCGGGGGAGCGCGGTTGGGGAGGCGAGGACGCTGATGAGTGAGTTAGTTTGGTGTTAGTGCGGCTGATGCTGATGCTGATGCTGACGTGAAAGGGGTTTGAGGGGTAGACTCACCCGTTGAAGATCAAACAGAAGGAGAATAACAGCTGGGCGACGTTGCTGCCGGTCTCGGGCTGCTCGATCCCGGCGATCACCATGGAGCTGAAGGTGGAAGTGAACATCATGAAGACCAGGATCAGCAGGAACATGGTGCCCCCGCGGTCGGTCACCGCGCCCGCAGGGAGGTGACGGTAGAACCAGATCGGATAGTACCACGAGAAGTAGGCGGGCACGGCCATGAGGATGTTCCAGGGGAGCTCGACGAGGATGCTGGCGAGCATGAACGCTTTCCACGAGTAGGCCTTGGACGGCCGCTCGCGCACCTCGTACAACGACCGCTGGCTCACGAAGTATGGCATCATCTGCTGCACGAGATTGGGGAAGATCACCAGGAGCATGAAGATGGCGAACATCTCGTTCTGCATGCCCTGGATACTGGTCGGCTCGCGCCAGAAGGTGAACCCGATGAAGAGAGGCTGTCTCGATCGTGGTTAGTGATGAGCCCAATCACTCAGTGTAGAAACGGAGGAAATTAGACGTACAGGAATTATGCACATGGCGGCCTTGGAGTAGATGTACGACGGGCTGCGCCAATATTGCTGGAACATGCGCTTCAGACACAGGACGAACTGCGCCCAGATCGGCATCGCGAATTCCCCGTACCCAGTCACTTGCGGAGGGGGTGGACGCTGCAGAAGCTCCGCCTTCATCTGTGCAAGTTCGTGACGCACCTGCGTGCGCTCGGGGCTTTGATTCCAGACGTCGCCCCAGTCTTTATCGGCATGGGACCCTGGAGCGGCTCCGATCACCTCGAGCATCCACTCGGCGGGGTTGGCGTTAGGTGGACACTTTGCGGACCCTTTGTCTTCAAAGTACTTGATGAGGGTTTCCATGTTCGGACCCAGCTCGCCAAAGTAGACGGTTCGTCCTCCTTTCGCCAGAAAGAGGAGTCGATCGAACTCTTGCATGAGGATCGCCGACGGCTGGTGAATTGTACACAAGATCGCTTGGCCGTGATCTGCTAACTTACGCATCAAGGAACAAATAGACCATGCCGTCTGACTGTCAAGACCTGAAGTGGGTTCGTCGAAGAAGAGAAGGAGGTCTGGTTTCGCGGCAATCTCCACCCCGATAGTCAATCGTTTGCGCTGCTCGACGTTCAGACCTTCGCCTAGGACGCCCACAACTGCTTCGGCATATGCTTCCATATTGAGCATCTTGATCACCTCCTCAACGTATGCGATCTTCTCCGTACGCGGAATACTGGCCGGTTGGCGCAACATGGCGCTGAAGATCAAAGCCTCGCGTACGGTACTCGTCTCCAGGTGCAAGTCCTGCTGTTGGACATATCCCGTCTTGCGAGAGAACGAATTATTGCGCATGCGCCCGTCGACCAGCATTTCGCCCGTCACGACGCCCATAGTCACGCGGCTTGCCAGCACGTCTAGCAAAGAGGTCTTTCCAGCGCCCGTCACGCCCATCAGCGCAGTCAGCGTTCCGGGTTGAACCCATCCGTCAACGTGGTCGAGAATGGTGCGGTTTTGGCCCTTAATCTTGATGTTGTAACAGACATCTTGCCACTGGAAGATTGAGGTTTGTTTAACAATCGCTGCCGTATGTTGGTCTGGATCGTGATCCTCTTCTGCGGCTACCCGGTT